TAAACGATGGATGGAGGTGGTGGATTTGGACGGTACTTTGATTCTGCATCAAATGATTATGAAAAGCCAAACTACCATGTTACGACGGTCCCATTGAAAAATTTGTCAAGCAAATCGAAATCATCAACCTCCGCATGCTACCCGAGACCTAAACGTTTCCATCTTTCATAGTCAAAATCCCATCAACATTCACAGCTATAGAAGAGGAAGGATCAATAGAGTTCGACCCTTTCCACGGCGCCGAGGACGAAAATGGCAACTTCTTAGGCAACGTCTACTCCCAATACACTCTTGACATTCTCACCACCTCCAACAAAACGGAGGTGAGAGTGAAAACAACCGTCAAGAACAAAACGAATCAAAGCTCGAAAGAAAGTGACATGAATGGATGAAGGTGGTGGATTTGGACTAATGATTACGAAAAGCAAGCTCTCACGTTGCAACAGCCTCATTGAATAATTTGTCAAGCATTGATGCAACCCGAGACCTAAACGTTTCCATCCTTCATAGTCAAATTCCCATCACCATTCACAACTTTAGAAGACGAAGAAGGATCAACAGAGTTCGACCCTTTCGACGGGGCCGAGGACGGAGATGGCAACTTCTTAGGCAACATCTGCTCCCAATACGCTCTCGGCACTCTCGCCGCCTCCGACGAAACGAAGACGAGAGCAACAATGACGGTGAAGAACAAAACGAATCTAAGGTTGAAAGAAAGAAACATGATGGAGATGGTGGATTTAGTGATGAAATGTGAGGGTTTTGAGAGGGCATGGAAGGAGACATGGTGAGTAATGTAAGGAAATTGCCAACTAGTTTTGTAGCTGAAAAGTTATGACAATGGCAGACAAAAGGGAAGCTGCTTATTCTTGCCTATCATGTCCCTCATGTTATCCCTTTCATTACCTAATACCACAAAAAAAGATGAAGCTTTTGTAAATATTATAAAATTGAAGCCCTTTATTGAAAACTTTTACGTTAAGAATGATGGTCTGTTACCATGTCAAGAATGGGAAGCTCGGTTACCATGTGAAGAATGAGAAATTGAGGTGAGATTGAAAGTCCGAGAAATATAGGTGGGATCGGTAAATTTGGTGACGGTCCCACATCAATTGGAGAAAGAAACGAGTGTCAGCGAGGACGTGGGCCCTAAAGGGAGGTAGATTGTGATGTCCCACGTTGGTTGGGGAGGAGAACAAAACACCATTTATAACAGTGTGGAAACCTTCCCCTAGTAGACGCGTTTTAAAGCCTTGAGTGGAGCTCGAAAGGGAAAGGCCAAAGAGGACAATATCTGCTAGTTGTGGATCTGGGCCGTTACAAATGATATCAGAGCTAGATACCACATCGGACGATGTGCCAGACTTCTCGCTCTTCCCCGAAGGGGGTAGACACGAGGCGGTGTGCCAGTAAGGACGCTGGGCTCTGAAGGGGGTAGATTGTGATGTCCTTGTTGGGGAGGAGAACAAAACACCCTTTATAACGGTGTGGAAACCTTCCCCTAATAGACGCATTCTAAAGTCTTGAGGGGAAACCCGAAAGAGGAAGCCCAAAGAGACAATATTTGCTAGTTGTGGATATGGGTCGTTACAAATGGTATCAAAGTCAGACATCAGATGATGTGTCAGCCTCCTAGCTCTTCCCCAAAGGGGTAGACACAAAGTAGTGTGCCAATAAAAACGCTGGCCCCAGAAGGGTAGATTGTGATGTCCCACGTTCGCCCAACCCAAAGAGGACAATATCTAGCTAACAAACTAATTACGGCTATATATTTAAATATTTTATAAATATTAGGGTTTTGAAATCCTTGCTGTCGGAGTTGTTATTTTGAAAGTGTGTGGTTGAAGTAGTTATTATGAGTTAAGCCGCACGTAGAACCTTAGCTTTTTCTTTACTTTAAGAATCATTAATCTTGAGTTTTTGGTCATTTTAATTAATTAATTAATTTTATTTATTTATTCTTGGATATAGATATATATATATATATATATATATAATTTTTAATCATTATAATTATTTTAATCCCTCAATAATAAAATTATTATTTTAGTGAAATTTAATTGTCTCAATTCTCGAGATGTTCGCTCGAGATATTCGTAGGGTAGGGTAGGGTGGGGACAAGGGAATTTTTCTCATCCCGTCTTTGCCTCTTTTATCAATCCTTATGTAAAATTTTTCATTTATTTTACGAGAAATTTACGGAATCGAGTTTTCTACTTGAATTTTTTCTCTATTTTTCTAACAAAATATTTGTTTTAAATAATTTTTATTTTTTAATTTAATTACGGTTAAAAAAATATAAAACATCTCAATAAATGTAATAATATTTCATAAGAAAATATACAATGATATATCACATCATTTTTAAAAACTCGAATTTCAAAATATCTATCTATATATATATATATATATATATATATATATATATATATATATAAAAGTGAGATAGGGCGGGATTAAGGGTGAGGGCAGAGACTGAGAAATATAATTTCCATTTCCAACCTCGTTTAGCTAATGGGACTGGAAGAAATCTCTCGCCTCCTTCCATTCCCCGTTTAAGCTATGATTCTCAGCTCTATTCAGGGTGCTCTTTAGCTAGTTGGCTAGTAGCACGACAAGCGAGAAAACATACTACACACAGAAAGAAAGGCGGCTCGATCTCCTATAAGACCAATATGATCCCAACATATTAAAGGAACATTTCTAATAATTATTCAGCTACCAGCTACATATCAACTCCGTTCAATACCCGCTATTTTTATTGGATCTTATATTTTAAAAAACTTTCGAACCAAACCAAAATAACTTTATTAAATAATGAAATCATTATTTATTTATTTATTTTTTTAAATAAAGAAAAAAAATTGGTTTTGTTTACTTAATTATTTATTATAATGCATTATTATTTATTAAACCTAAAACAAAACCACTCATTTAAAAAAAAATTAAAAATATATATTAAATAAAATAAGATTAATGGAATTCAAGCAGTTTTTGAGACAGTGATGTATGCCATTTAGGAAACATAATTTAAATATTTTATAACATAAAGTAAATATTAATAAAATGAGAGGTCCATTATTATTGTATGGGCTAACTTATTTTATTTTATTTTTATTTTTATTTTTTTATGATATTTAGAGGGGAAGAGAGCATGTGGTTTTCTAATATTATATTTATTTATTTCTTTTCCCAATAAATTTATTTTTTAGGTCAAAATTACTTTTATTCTAAATAAATTTGACTATTTAATGATTATAATATTAAAATTTTAATAAATAAAATTAAATTGAAAAGGGTATTAATTTTAGGGCCAGCTAGCATTATAAATTTAGTATTTTGACTATACATTATTAATTAATATTTTAAATGATTATTTTGTTTATTCTTTGTTTTTATAATAAAGTATTTATTTGTATAAATAAGATAATGATGTATTAATTTAGTTGAAAATATTATATATTTTAATTTGACAAAACATAGCTGGGAGAGGTCCACTCTTTGCATTTGGTTGAAAATGGTCACAATTTAGAGATCTTATTCGGGCTCGAGTTGTTACTATTGGCACCAAATAAAAACGTCTTATACTATAGGGAGATTGCGAAGAACTCCATGTGGAAGAGAGTTTTCTTAGCTCCCTGATATGCCTAATGTCGAATCTTTAACATGTGACGATGATCATTTCGGTCGCCATCAAAGTTCATTCCAAGATTCATAATGTGAAGGATACATGAACGAACCGAGACTACATCCGAATGAAAGTAATACTGAGAATATGATAACTAAGAAATACTTAAAAAGAATTTAAAGTCACTGCTTATAGAAACAATATGCACTTTCCTTTTCGTTAACTCAATGAAAATACATCAAAATGACGTCATTACCCTTGTTGGGTGGTCGCCAACAAAACCTAAAATTTAAGAAAATTAATAAAAATTTTGAAAATTTAAGAATGTTTTATAAATATTGTTAAAATTTTTAATACATTTTAATAATTTTAACATTCAATTAACAATAAGGTTCTTTTTATTTCTAAATTAAGTCATGTTGTTGTATATCTTCATATTGGGCTTGCTGATATTATTATTATTATTTGTATGTTTTATGAGTACTTCGATTAATTCTATATATATATATATATATATACCGTAAGTTTGAAGCCCCGATCCAGTTGGACCATTCAAAAAAATTGAGTCACAGTCAATAATTTTTGACAATTTTGCAAGAAACGTTGAAACTCGACGATTTTGATGCCTACGATTGGCAGCTAGCACCACAAAATTATTTCACTCCTAGCCAGCTTTCGTTCGACAGACTTCGGGGTGTCATCCGTGGCTATTTGTTCACATTCTAGAGTAATTCCGAAGAGCTACCTTCTTTTTCAGATATCTTAATATTCTTGGGGAGTAGTGCTCAAACACAAACGTCGAACAAAGATAGCCTATAACAATGTACGTACGGGACTAAAACCGAAACCTTAATTGGGAAACCTCGATTTAGCCATTTGAAAGAAAACTAAGTCATAGTCGATAAATTTTCAACAATTTTGCGAGGAGCACTAAAACTCGACAATTTCGACGCCTACGATCGACTGCCAGCACCCAAAAATGGTTTTGATTCCAGCCACTTTTTTTTCGAGCGTCGTCAAGGTGCCATCGGCGTATATTTGCTTGCGTTTAAAGACAGTTCCAAAAAGCTTCTCTTTCCAATAATTCCCCTTGAGAGCCGTGCTCAGACTCCAACGTCAGAGAAGGAGAGCCTATAGCATTGAATGTACGAGATTAGAACCGAAACCATAATTTTGAAGTCCCGATTGGGCCGTTCAAAAAAGTCACATTCAATAATGTTTCGACAATTTTGCAAGGAACATTGAAACTCGACAATTTCGACACCTAGTTCAGCAACCAGCACCAAAAAATTATTTCGCTCCTGGCCAGTTTTCGTTCAACCGACGTCGGGGTGCCATCGGCGGCTATTTGCTATATATATATATATGTGTGTGTGCAATAAACTTCTCAGATTCATTAACAACCAAGAAATAACATACATACACAACCCAAACTCCGGCTTCCTAATTCCAAGAGATAATTTGGTAATTGATAGTTCTCCAATCTGGTGCAAAACCTGATGGGCTAAAACAACTTTATAATCTATACCAACACCATATACCTTCATATTTACTCGAACGTTCATAAAGATCGGTTTGGCTTTGACGACGCAGAGGACCGAGCTTTGGCAAAGTCGACCAGATCTTTAAATAGCACATCCTCTTGCTTTTCCTGTTTGACTGGTGTTGGTGGACTGAGAGAGAGGCTCTGAGTATGTCCAACTAAGCTATCGTAGGAGGACCCTGACCCGTGAGCTTCTTGTTTGTCGAAAAATTGGTGTCTTTGATCATATGTCGATGGCGGGGCTGGAAGAACGGTGGAGCTTTGGGACTGTGAGCCCCATGGTGCTGGAGGCAGTGGATCGGCAGACCTACTTGTGGGAGTTGGTTCGTCATACACAGGTTGTCCAGTGGATGGGATAGAGCGTTCGACATGGGGTAGGGGTGAAGAAGATGGTGGGGTCGAAGTTGGAACGGTAAAAGGTGGACGTGAGGTTTCTGAAGCTTCTTCAGATTTGTAGGCATCGCCACTGAGGTAATCGACCATGCTGCTACCTGCAACAACAGGCTTCTTTGATGACGGTGGAGGAGGTAGAAGAGGACCGACACGAGTCGCTTCAGTATTAACACTGGCTGGTTTTCTATTCAGTCCTGATCTGCAACAATTACAATGCATATCCCTTGAACTTTCAGTTATATACAATGACCATGTCCTAGCTCCTAACACGAAGTAACCATTTAATAATCCCAATCAAACTAACAGACAACACGATGAAGACTCGGCAGACTATTATGGAAATCATTTTGTAGAGAGAGTTTGTTAAGTACCTCCGAGCTAACTGAGCAAAATCGTCTCCGAATTTGTCGTCCTCGTGGCTAACGTTTATAATTGGAAGAGCTGATGATTCAGCTCTTGTTGGTTCCTTAGTAGCAGATCCATTAGCTATATCATCATGCTGTTTAAGAACTCGCTGCAGAATATCATTCAAAGCCAATCCTTGACATAAAAGCTCCTCATCTCTGGTGAAGTGAAAAGGATAATCAGCGATGCAAACAAAACATCTGATTTTTTCTTTTTCTTATAACAGCTAGGCTAGTCTATGGGCCTCTTTTTGAATATATATATCTCTGTTTCTTATAAAAATATAAAACAAAAAGGCTGGGGTCAAGAAAACACTTACCCTGTACTATTTACAAGCAGCATGACACGCTTTTGATAAGATTGGCACTGGTCAACTAAGTCAACGATCACTTCTTGTTTCACGCCCTATCATCATATTCAGTCATTAGAACCCAGTGGAATTGACGTTTTTGATTTCTCTCAAGTTTTAACGCAACACGTGCACATGACAACTTGTGATATTAGGGACAAAAGCCTATACAAACTTAATACCTATTTAACTATTTTTCCAACAAGTTATGTGAGATCCCACCTCGACTGGAGAGGAGAACGAAACATTCCTTATAATGGTGGGAAACCTCTCCCAAGCAGACGCATTTTAAAAACATGAGGGGAAGCCCGAAAGGGAAAGTCCAAAGAGGACAATATCTATTAACAGTAGGCTTGGGCTGTTCCCAATGGTATCAGAGCCAGACACCGGAAAGTGTCCTAGTGAGGATGCTGAGTCCCCAAGGGAGTGGATTGTGAGATCCCACATTGGTTGAAGAGAAAAACGAAACATTCCTAATAAGGGTGTGGAAACCTCTCCTGAGAAGAAGCGTTTTTAAAAACTTTGAGGGGAAGCCTGAAATGGAAAGCCCAAAAAGGACAATATCTACTAGTGGTGGGCTTAGGCTGTTCCAAGTTCAGTGTCTATTCTATTTCAAGCAGTTTAACTCCACAAGAGTGAAGTAGATAAGTTTCTAGAAGTACACAACTTCCTGCATCTTCGAATAAATTTCGTACTATGTCAATCCGCTTAATTCAAACAACTTTCATGTTACAAAATTCAATCGATGGAAGATGTAGAAAAAAGCTACCTCTGGTTTTTTAGGGTCCAAGGCACCAAGCATTTCCAGTAGAACATCTGCAAGTCCATGTGCATTTTGTATCTCTGGCAAGCTGTTATGAATAGAATTTGTTATTTGGAAGTAAGCCATTGCCCATCAAATAGGCCCTCATGACATATAATCAATTGGGAAAAGTTAATAACATTGAGAGTAAACTAGTTTCTGAGAGAAAAGTACACGGGGCTATGGGACTTAGGGGTGGATTGGCAATTGAATGTCACAAACACAGAAGACTACAAGAAAAAAGTACCTCAGGCCAGAAACATCAGATTCAAGGGAAGCATGAATCGCAGCATCCTCATAAGTTGCAGCAGGCTGATTAAGGATGGGCTGGGTCTGAGGTGGAGTAAAAAAAGGAACGCTATTCTCTTCCCGTGGAGGAAATTCAACTCCAGCATTCTGTGAAAGACCAAATACTACTAAGAACGAAAGGACTCGAATACCAAAGCAATGATGGGTACATGGCATAAATGGAAAAAGAAATCAAATCAAGGTCTCATCAATACACACAATACAAAGGAAAAAGACCAACTTTTAAAATATATGGAAAAATTAAAGGAACGTGAGGGATAATCTTTTACCACTTTCTCTTCCACGTGGGAGGAGGGGGTGGAGAGATAGGAAAGGGGCTTTCTTTCAGAACAGACATAAATGAAAGGAAAAATGGGAATCCCTCTGTTTACTTTGCTTAGTTTCTCTCAAAATGAAGGAATTTCAAGATAGAAGCCCTGCAGCACCATAATACCTTATTCATGCAACAAACCGATATTTAAAACAATCTGGAAGAGCATACAATCTAATAGTTTCAATGCGTAGCTTCATAAAAACAAATGAATTGAAAATAATTCAAAATCTAAACCAATGAAAACAACATGATTTGATTCAGACAAGTGCTCAGTGAAATTTTAAATAGGCGAAGACAAAGAATAAGAAAAAACAAAACATCATAATATCTCCTGTTTGAGAAAATGGGAGCTCTAAAAGAACTTTCAAAGGAAAAGGTGGTCACTATACATATTGTCAGGCTTGAGAAAGAATGAATAAAGGGAAAAAACTAATCACCTTCAATTCATTGTAAGCAGCATAGCATTGGGGATACCTTCCCCTCGGTCCCCCAAATGCTTCTTGCCAAGTATCTATCAGATTTAGTATTTTCTCCCTCACAGTCAAGGCTGGCTGCCAAATTGAGACATATTGAAAGAAAGCATTATCATGCTTGTCTAAGGTTGCAAACAAGAAAAAAGCAGAGCAAGCAATGAACTAGCAAAAATGAAACTACAGAATCAAGTCCTTCATTTAATAGCCATATATCATAGGTTAACAAGAAAGTCACCTTCTTCTTCACTATTTTAACCATGTCGAGCAGGATGTCATGCTCAATAATCTGCTGAAACACGTTCTCACCACAATTTTTGCTAATAGTCTCCAATGCCTAGATGATTTATATTTGAAAGAAGACATAGTGAGCTTTTCATATTGGATATGGTAAGAAAACCTCAAGTGATACACCAAGTGACAAATTAAACGTGGGCTGGCCAAAACATAGCAGAGTTGTCAAGAAAATTCAGATATCCACACATTCACAAAGAAGTATTATTAAAAATGCAAGTGTAATAAACAATAACTTCAGACTTAATGAATTGATCGGTGCCATGGTCTGGTCAAGTTAAACCATTCAACAGTAAGATACTCATGGATAAGTTTTGATTTGACAAGGGAAAGAGAAATTTACAAAAAGAGCCAAAATCTGGATCTTGGAGTTTTTGTTTGCTAGCCGATTCTTGAGTATCTTCAATGCCACCTTTGCTTGCCTGACATTGCCAATTTGAAATGATGATCAAAGTTCAAGACCATTGCAATTGATAGGAAGGGTATATTGATTTTAATACGAAAGAGACGTGAAAGAGAAATTTTGAAGAGTGATACGAGGTTCAAACCATTAACAATAAAACATTAAAAAAATCAGTATACCTAAAACCAGAAATAATCTCTAGTGCAGACCGTAGCATTAAGCAAAGGATAATTGTAATGACGTTAGCCAATGATTAAATTTCTTTCTCAGCGTAGATTAAAGAAGTACCAAGCAACTTGTTGTGACTGATTTATTTTTTGATGAAGAAAACAACTTTCATTGAGACAAAATACAAGAATACACAAGGGTGATACAAAAAAAGGAAAACCCAGAATAGAAGCCAAAAAGGAAAAAAGATAATAAACTACACAACAAAAGAATGACCAATCCTTGGTAATAGAGACCTAAACGAAGGCGTTGAACCTTAAGCAACATGGACCTCCAACATCGCGAGGTTTCTCTTTTTTTATTTGTTTTTCAAGACCGACTTGTGCACATCTTGACTATTCTCATGAGATAACTACCTCGATATTCTAGAGGTTTATCTCAGAGACAACAATGATAGCTGTTCAAAATATTAAATGTAAAACTAAGAATTTATGTAACTAAAAATCAAATGACTCTCATGCAATGTAGACTGTACCATTAAGAACAGGAAAATTCTAGTAGCGAGTTAACAAAGCTACACTTCCTCCACATTTGTTACAAAATGATATTAGATGATATCTCTCCAAACTTGTTCTTCCATATATTAGAAGCAACAAAGTTATGCTTCCTCACAGTCTAAATTTAATACGATTAACCTGAAAAGGGAAAATGATGAACAAAAAAATTACCCAGGATCCATGTTAATAATATCACATAGCTCGATGTTTATGGCCCAGTCTGGACCAATCAGCATATCACTGGTTGCCCTCTCCGCGCAGGCTGCTGCATTACTGCCCATTCTTCTAATACCTCAGCGGAGTCCTCTTCTCACGTGAACTTCCTGAATATACATACAATTCATCATAATCCCATTCCTTCAATTAAGTTAAACGTAAACAGAACGAAGACAGACGAGGATTGGAAGATTGACCAATGCACTGCAGATTTCCAGTGGTTGTTTTCTTTTTATACTCATTTAATAGTTAAGTCGATCCTCGACACAGTTGACTTTCAAATTTATAAGCTGGGAGAAATCTCGCATTCGAACAAACAACAAACTATATTTTTCTTTTTCCACAAACACCATGGAAACACATTCTAGATAAACCCTAATGAAATCCAGCAAATATTAAAACCACGAAATCCTCTTTCAATCCCAAGGACATAAAATTTTGGCGACCAAATTGACAACAACAAATCCGAACATCAATAAAGCCCTTTAAGCAACAGACGATTCAATAATCAGCTCAAAATTTTGAAAATCAAAATAGAATTCAAACCCGTGAGACTCCAAGCCAGAGCAAAAATCGTCTATCCGCTCAATCAAAAGGAGATTGGAAAATTTCTTGCGTCTCAACTAGATCCAGTAGTACAAATTCGCAGCCTAAAATCGGGGTAGCACAATGATTTGAGGAAAGGGTATCAGAGAAAATAAAATTTGAAAAGAGAAGCGATTGAAGAGTAAGCTTACGGGTCAAAATCGGAGAAGAAAATGAGAACCAGCTGATGAATAGTGATAGGTTCATATATGAGAAGAAAAATGGAAGCAGAGAGGTGAACTTGGGGCGGGGGAAATGGAATTTTCGGGGTTATATATATTTATTTATTAATTTATTTATTATTATTATTATTTTCGCTTTGTTTTTTGTGGCACGATCATAGATACCTTAGAATTATAAGTGTTTTATGAATAATGAAAGACTTGAGATGATATGTAGGGATAACGTTGATAGACAAACACGACTCTCCACAATGGTATAATATTGTCCACTTTGAGTACTTCCCAAAAGGTCTCATACCAATGGAGAGTGTATTTTTAGATTATAAACCCATGACCATTCCCTAAATTAACCAATGTGGGACACTTTCATCTAACAAACGTCAGTATGCAAGAAAATGTCGAGGCACACAGGTGCCGAATCGATTTGCACTCTCATTTTTGCATGTAGAGTTTCAGTGACCTGCAACGTTTTGAGCAACAAATTTTTGCATCATCATATTTTTTAGTGACATTTTTTAAATTTTATTTATAGTTTTTACATGTCAACGAGGTAGAGCGGGGTAAAATTTTGTTTTCGAGTGAGGGTTATTTCTTGTATTGTTAAAAAAGTACTAACGATTTAAACCATCCTCAAAGTTTGACAACTTTCTAGCTCCATTAAGTCGTAACTTTATTCGAACTCAACCCTACAACGACCACTTTTAGGAAACATAATAGAACACAAAGTTCCCATTTAGCTTGATCAATAAGTTGCAGTTGAGTACTTTGAGGATGAGGCGATGGCTACAGCATTGCCCAATGGCCATGCCGCCTCTGCAAGAGAACCATGATATGCTACCTGCTTCACCAATGTGATACTCTTCCGAGAATCAATTCCTATCACAGAGATAACACCAAATGATTATTATTTTCGTCCTTATAAGCTTACATTTTAAAAATAAAAACTATGGTAGATTGAATCACTATCCAACTTATAAGCTTAATCGAACTCAATATAACAGCTTGAGTCTACTACTAGTAAATATTGTCTTTTTTTTTTTATTTTCCCTCAAGGTTTTTAAAATGTGTCTATTAAAGAGAGATTTTCATACCCTTGTTTTTAAAATCTGTCTATTAAGGAGAGATTTTCATACCCTTATAAAGAATGTTTCGTTCTTCTCTCTAATCGATTTGAGATCTCACAATCCACCTCATTTAAGGCCCAGCGCCCTTGTTGGCAGTCATTTCATTTTCCAATCGATGTGGGACTCCCTCAATAAGGGTGAGATCCTACATCGGTTGAGAAGGAGAACAAAACATTCTTTACAAGGGTATGAAACCTCTCACTAGCAGACGCGCTTTTAAACTCTAAGGGGAACCTCGGAAGGAAAAGCTCAAGGAGGACAATATTTGCTAGCGGTGGGCTTGGACTGTTACAAATGGTATTAGAGTCAGACATCAGGCGATGTGCTAGCGAGGAGGCTGAGCCCTGTAGGGGAGTGGACATGAGACAGTGTGTCAGCAAGGACGCTGAGTCTCAAAGGAGGGTGGATTGGGTGGTCCCATATTGATTGGAGAAGGGAACAAGTGTCAGCATCGAGCCCTGAAGGGGATGGACACGAGGCAGTGTACCAGCAAGGATGCTAGGCCCCCAAGGGGGTGGATTGGGGGTTCCATATCGATTAGAGAAGGGAACGAGTGCGAAGGAAGGTGGATTGTGAGATTCCACATTAGTTGGAAAGTAGAACGAAATATTCTTTATGAGGGTGTGGAAACCTCTCCCTAGCAGACACGTTTTAAAAACTACCCGAAGGGAAACCCTAGAGAGGACCATAATGTTTTTTTATGATACCAGATGAACCACCGCTTGAACCAAAAAATTTCCGTTTAAAGTTTTGAGTTCAATGTTGATGCATTATTATCACTCGAAACCTAAGTTAAAGATATATTTGAGAAGGAACGTACCGAATCCATCAACAAGAAGCGTGTACTCGTACACGAGATCCATGCACACAAATTGCAAGTCACTTGAGTAAACATTAGGGTATTTGACCTTTGCATCAACAAACTTGGTTTGACAAGCAATCCTCGCAGCTCTCTTGAAATCAATGGGCTTCACAATGGCGTCTGGCTTGTCTGAATCTATGAAACCCGCCTGTCCAAATTGGATATGTCATTATTTGAAGGCTCATTTAATCACATCTTTGTTCATTGCTATTACCTGAGCTGCCTTGTCAAAGAAAAAGGAAGCAACATAGAGGTTCTTCACGCCGGCTCCTCCGCCGCCACTCCATATACCATCAAAGCTGCAATCGTTATACCCACATGATTTGTTGATATTCAGTGCCTCCAGAATTACACTCCGGCAACGAGCGAAGCCCGACCCTGATCGAGGGGCTGATGCTTTGTACTCCTTTCCCCCGTATGCGTATGTACCTGGAATTTGAATTTAGTTTTTAATCAGTCTCTAAATTCTCTAAATTTATTTTCAGGTTTGAATTTAACTTTTAGTTTAGTACTCAACCCACACAATACTGCTATAATGAAGGATGTTAAAACATATTCGTATAAGGATCCTATAACAATACATACACTGATCTAGATGAACACAAACAACACAGGAAATAGAAAATGCAAAAAGAATATTAGCTAAAGGATCTGTATTCACGATTCAACTTACTTGTTGGGTATATATAGCTTTAACCGATATAACTATTTACCACATGTGATATAGCTTTTTACTATCATAGCTTACAATTTACTGTCATTTATACATAGGTTTACTATGTATAACAGTTGACTAAGCTAAACGGTATATATATAGTTTTACCAGATATAACTATTTACCATATGTGATATAGCTTTTTACTATCCTATCTTACAATTCACTATCATTTATATATAAATTTACTATGTATAACAGTTGACTAAGCTATAAATGTAACCTAACCGTTCCTAAAATTAGATTAGGTTGAAATTAACGAGGTTAATGACTTGCTATACAATTATATATAATATATTTTATTTACTTTTATAGTTATTTTTTTATTATTTATCTCCAACCACAATTGAAAATAAAAGGAAACTATTTGGAATATAAAATTTCAAAATATATATTTAAATTAAGTGGTAAACTTTAATAAAATATTAAAAGAAATATTTTACAAATTAACATTTTATTTTAAAAATTTAAATAAACCATTCGAACTATCGAAATCAAATAGGAGTTGAATTGAGTTTATTATTTAATACAAGTTGTTTGTGATGAAAAAATTTACAACCTAAACAACCGAGTTAAATCTAAAAAATATTCGACTCTTAATCATAGTCAAAACAGTACATTAACTCTAACGTCTTTATTTAGTTAGGTATGGATCTATTTAGTCATAATACTTCCGAATATCCCATTTTAGTTATTGTATTTTCATAAATCTTAAATTAATATTCTAAAAAATATTTGTCATTTACTTATATAAATTAAATTTTATAAATAGGATTTTTCTTGAATTGAATTTTTTATGTTAAATTAACCCTAAACCTTAAACTTAAAATATATATATATATATATATATATATATATATATATATATATATTATTATGAATACCTTGATAGCCAGCTAAAATGCAGGGGTTGCCAAGCTCTTCGGTCACCTTCAAGATCTCAACTCGGGCAGCTTGTAAACCGTAACGCAAATAACTGGTTCACAACGCAAAAACAAAAATTTCACTCCAATTTTAATAAAAACTATTTAACCAATTATCAATAACTTTCCCTAAATTATTTAAAATTAAAAGATTTCTAATAAATTCATAAATTTTTTAATTTTGTTATATATATCAGACCCTACAATGGTATAATTGTGAGGTTCTTCATCGATAGGAGGAGGGAACAAAACTTAAGGGTGTGAAAACTTATCCCTAAGAGAAACATTTTAAAACTATGAGACTAACGACTGTAATGAACCAAAAGAAACAATATCTTCTAGTGGTATGCTTGGTTTGTGACAAATGGTGTTAGAGACAAACACTAGAAGATGTGTCACTGAAGATGTTGGGCCCCTAAACGATGGTAGATTATGAGATCCTACATTGGTTGGAGAGAGTAACGAAGCCTAAGGGTGTGCAAACCTCTCCCTAATAGACGCGTTTTAAAATCGTGAGCCTGACGATGATACATAATGAGCTAAAGCCGACAGTATCTACTTGTAGTGGGCTTAGGTCCATTTCAACCTGAGTTCTAAAGGGATAGTATCTCTTACTTATATACCTACTATATTCTCCTTAATTAGCTCGTATCGAAATCCAATCAATTTTTTTAACCAAGCCAACTAGATCACGAACCTGTGCACGTAGAGGTTATAATTAGCGCCCTTGAGGTAAAATTTCTGAACAAATTTGGAGTAGCCATCAGAAGAAATGGGCGCCTTGGCTGCATCTTCATCAGAGATTGCATATGCCATTTGAACAGAGCCACCTCCAAGGTCAATTACTCCCATTGTATTAGAGTATCTCTTCCCCAAATTCTCCAGCAAATAGTTTATTGTCAACTGAAAGAAAAAAAAAAAAAAAAAAAAAAAAAAGCCTTTTCGATTGAAGAGAAAAAACGAAACATTTTTGATAATGGTATGAAAACCTCTCTCTAATAGACTCGTTTCAAAACCATGAAGCGGTTTGGGCTATTAGAAATGGTATTAGAGTACATAACGAGCCAAAATGGCGCTAATGGTAGGTTTGAGCTCTTACAAATGGTATCAGAGTCAATCAACTAGCAGTGTGCCAGCAATGACGCTAGACCCCCAAAGGAGGTGGACTGTGAGATCCCAAATTGGTTGGAGAGGGAAACGAAGCAAAACCTCTCATTAGTAGATGCATTTTACAACCGTGAGACTTACTACGATACGTAACGGATTAAAGCGAGCAATATCGGCTAGCGATGAGCTTGAGTTATTATTTAATATTATTTGTAGAGTAATGTAGGGCGTAGAAATCTTTCTCTAACAAACATCTTTCAAAATTGTGATGCTGACAACGATA